GCCGTGAAACATTTAATGAATGCTTGCGACTGTAAGTCATCGTAGCATGTCCTAGAAGTTCATTGTATGTCAACAGCCCTTTGAAAGTATTTAGGAAAATATATTTTAGAGGAAAAAAAAGCCTACAGTTCTGTAAAGAGAGAATCGGTTTGTCAGCGGGAGGCTAAATTTTACCAGCCTTCGCAGACAGTTCAGGGACAGCACAGTCATATGTAAATAACAGGTAACGCATAGTTCAAGAATAAAAATAAAAGCATTACGGGTGGCCTTTATTTCCCTAACGGGTAGAAAATGAAAAGAAATGGCTTGTGAATTAATCAGCTTGAACATCAGAGGAGGGAGAAACAATGCGTTTCCAGGGCAACGCATATCAGGTCGTTTTCTACCTGCCATCTTGATGCGTGCTGTCCCCCCTTCCCGCTTTTCAGTGATCAAAGTGTCTTTTCCAGCAGCCTCAGGAGCCTTAGGTTTCGCAACAGGCATAAGTGGGACCCGGGCAGGGTGGCGTTGGCGTCCAGCCCACTTGGCCCTTTTCTCCCCGAGAGACATGCGGGCCGTTGGGAAGGACGCGGCGTCCATTGCCGTGGGTGCTGTGGAGGGCGGGGAAGCGGCGGCCCCGCGCACCTGCGCACTGACGTCGTCCCCCACCCGCGGGAAAGCACGGCTCAACGTGGGGCGGGCGGGGCGCACCAGGGAGCCCCGCAAAGTCGGTCGTTCGCGCCGTGGGTAGCTGCCCGCCGCTGCGCCGTGCGGTTCCGGCTCCTCCCTCTCTCCTCTGCTGCCTGGGCCCCATCGTGGTGCTGGAGTCGGCGGTCGCGGACCTGCTGGACCGCTCCCTGGGGGACCATGCAGCGTTAAGCGCGAGGGCGGGAGTTCGCGGACACCCCGCCCCCCCTGGCCGTTTGCGGGCCGTGCGGGGCGGCAGGTGCGGGTGCCAAGTCTGGTGGCCGCCGCGGGCTCGGAGGAGGCGGGACGCGCCCCGCCGCCCTGTCCGGTCCCCGCGTCCCTATGGCCGCCGCCCCCGCCGCGCGACCGACCGCGGGGTCCCTGCCCGGGCCCGCGCTCAGTAAAGTGGCTCCAGGAAAAGAAAGGAAATGGCGTTTCGCCCTCATCTTCCCCAGCACCTCCCAGCAGGCAGGACTGGCTTCCTCCATGAAGGGCCTGGGGAGGGACAGGCAGGGAAGGAAGGCGGTCGGTCTCCCTCTCTTTGCTAGGGCCAGCCTCAAACTTTTGATCCTCCTGCCTCCACCTCCAAGTTTCAATTCTTATTGTAGCTGTTTCCACCCGCCCAGTGTTAAATGCATTCTAAATTAAGTCAATATTTATTGAGTTTCTATTATGAGGAAAAGAGGTAAGGAGCTCATAGGTTGGGGATTTAAATAAACTGAAGTGTTAAGAACTTAAGAAAAATATAACATGAACTGGAAATTTGGAGAGTTATGGTGGAGGTGTTTAAACATCACTATTTCTCCTGTATATTTTGTAGGTCATTAAGTTTTAAAGGCATTCTTGGACTTAGGCAGGGTTGTTACATGTCAGTTGCATTTGATTTTTGTTCATAAATGCAATTAACTTGCTTTTCTGTAATTTGTTTTTTTCTTTTAAAATCTTTTATTATTTTATTCACGTGTGCATACGTTGTTTGGGTCATTTCTCCTCCCTGCCGCCCTTCCCCCACCCCCCTCAGTTCCAGGCAGATCCTGTTCTGCCTTTATCACTAGTTTTGTTGAAGAAAAGACACAAGCCTAATAAGGAAGACATAGTGTTTTTGCTAGTTGAGTTGAGGATAGCTATACAGAAATATTCCTAGCATTGCTTTCGTGTACATGTGTTATGACCCATGTTGATTCATCTCTAACTGATCTTTACACTGGTTCCTGAACCCCTGCTCATGATAACCTCTGTTGCTTTAGTGTTTCTGTATTAGCTCCTCTGGAGTGGGGACATCAAACGCTTTCATGTTTTGGGTTTTCTACCTAGTTCTGTATCACCCAAATGTGCTCTCCCCTTGTGTGTGGTCCCGGTCCAACCACATTGCTGCATTTGCCCTAGATCTAAAGTCCACATATGAGGGAGAACGTGATTTTTGGTCATCTGAGCTTGGCTGACCTCGCTCAGAATGATGTTCTCTAGTTCCATCCATTTACCTGCAAATGATAAGATTTCATTCTTCATGGCTGAGTAAAATTCCATTGTGTACAAGTACCACATTTTCTTGATCCATTCATCAATATGGGGCATCTTGGTTGTTTCCATAACTTGGCTATTGTGAATGGCGCTACAATAAACATGGGTGTTCAGGTGCCTCTGTAGTAACCTATACTGTATTCCTTTAGGTATATCCCAGGAGTGGGATTGCTGGATCATGTGGCAGACCTATGTTTAGATTTTTTTTTTTTTAAGAAGCTTCCAAATTTTTTCCCGAGTGGTTGTACAAGCTTGCATTCCCACCAGCAGTGGATTAGGGTTCCTTTTTGCAGACTGCTAACCAGTTTTCCCAGCAGTTTTTGTTGAAGAGGATGTCTTTTCTCCATCGTATATTTTTAGCACCTTTGTCAAAGATAAGTTGGTTATAGTTGTGTGGCTTCATATCTGGGTCCTCTATTCTGTTCCACTGGTCTTCATGTCTGTTTTTGTGCCAGTACCATGCTGTTTTTATTGCTTCAAATATAGTTTGAAGTTGGGTATTGTGATACCTCCAGTGTTGTTCTTTTTACTGACTATTGCCTTGGCTATTCATGGTCTCTTTTGTTTCCAAATAAATTTAACGGTAGATTTTTCAATCTCTTTGACGAATGTCATTGGGATTTTGATGGGAATTGCACTAAACATGTAGATTGCTTTTTTTTAAGATTAGACACAAATATTTGCCCTTCTGTTTTTTTAGAAACTTCCTGTGGCTGCTGTGTGTTTCTAACCTGGTGATTTAGCTACAACAGTAAAGTTAGTTGTATGTGTATACAATTAGTATTTTTTCCTTGAAGGAAAACCTCTAAAGTACTTGGTTAAATGTAAACTTAAGATCAATCCTAGCACTGAGGAAGCTGAGGCAGGAGAATGGTGAGTTTGAGGCAGGCTGGGCTACACAGCCAGACACTGCTCTCCCCCTCCCCACCCCAAAAAAGGAATTTTTGGCATTCATGGGATATGTAATAAAACTGCTGCATCAGTGTCTGAGAATATGGGTGGTGGTCTGGGAATACTTACATCTACCAGTTGAAGGAATGAATTCACTTTTATCTCTTTCCCTGAGGTTGGTGTTAATATGAAACCTGTTGCTCTTCCTCCTTTCTCTTTATATTAGGACTTGTGGCTCCTCCTTCAGTGCAAATAATTATAGAATGAGATTGCTAAGTTACTATTAGGTCACATGCACTGTATTTAGAGGCAAAGTATGCATTTGTTAGACTCTGGATAGCAGAAATAGATTGTTATTTTTGTGTATCTGTTGGTAAGATAGATATTAGGTATAGAAAGAATTTACATAAAAATATTGAGGTGTCGTATTGACCTTAGAACTTACCTTCATTTTATTTTCCCATTTCCCTTACTATTATTTGTATCATAATTCCACATAAAAGTCATATCTAAGACTGGGCATGGTGGATCATGCCTGTAATTCCCAGCTACCCAGGAGATAGAGATCAGGAGCACTGTGGTTTGAGGCTGGCCCAGGCAAAAAGCTGTTGAAACCTCATCTCAGTGAACAGTCACCATTACAGGCATGTCTACCATGAACATGCACCCTGGACAAAAATGGGAGACTCTATCTGAAAACTAACTAAAACAGAAAAGGCTTGAAGGCATGGCTCAAGTGATAGAGTGCCTGCCTTTTAAACATGAGGCCCTGAGTTCAAACTCCAGTGTTGCCAGAAAAGTAGTATATAATGTAAAAACTAGAAATACTGAAAACCATTAATAATAAAGGCATTCTTACTGTCCTGCCACCCAGTGACAATTACTTATAATCTCCCTGTAGGTTTTTAAAATATACTTCTTTAACTTAGCCATATTGGTAATATTCAGTATCTTAAATATCACCAATTACTTCTTCAGAGAACCAAAGATCAGTGCAGTAGAAACAGCCCTCTTTGTGTAAGGACATTCATGATTTGATCCTGCACACATTTGTGTTAGTTCCTTACGAGTTATTATGCAGGTGACTTCTGAGCACTCCTGGTGAACTTGACCCACCAGTTGAGTCTCTGGGAGGGAAGAATCAGGTTTGCAAGTCTCCATATGGACCTTAGGCCTGCCTTGCTAACTAGTTGAATGGCTTAAAGCAGGCACTAACAGCCGTGCAGATCCCTTCCCTGGGCTTGAACAGAGGTCCCAATTGTAATTTTGTACAATTCTGTGTAATAGAATAAAACCAGAAATATTTGTCTGTTCTGTGTAATTTTAAACCATGTAATACTTAAGGTGTTTTTCCCCAAGTGGTCTTTGGTATTGTAACATCTGGGCAGTGACAACATCTGTCAATTCTGCCTCCCAGATCTTCCTTTACTATAACTCTACACCTTTGACCCTGAACAACTGCCTTATTTTAGGTTTTAATTTCTGCTCAGTGTATTGTAGAAGCTGCCTGACTGAATTCTTTCCTTTGTCTCTTAGCATAATGTTGTAATGTTTTCTGCCCCTTTGTGAGGCTTCTTGCCTGCTTCCTTTCCTTTATTGCAGCTTTTAACAACTTATTTTAGAAAATTTTAAAACTGCATAGTTTTGTTTTTGTTGATGGTATGGACACACACACATAAACACACACACACCTTTAAAATTGCACTACTCTGGGTGTTGTTCTATAAATGTTTCCCCTGTGCCTTTCTGCATTTTTTTAATCTTCAATATAGGTGTATTGTGATTTTGGCTTTCTCTCTGAACATTTAGTCTTCAAGCCCTTCCTTCACCATGTGTTCTTAGCTCTTAGAATTGTAGTCTTAGTCTTTGGTACTGCATATGACAGATATTGGTGTATTCTGTACTTTTCCTCTTTTTTTTTTATAGATGGTGTGACTTTGATAATCTGCAGATGAAAGAAAATGCTCTGGTAAGTTTTTTTTTAAGCTATGCTAAACTTTCAGTTTATTTAGTAAGCTCTTAAGAAACCTTTGGTTACTAGGCCATTAGGAACCAGGTGTCAGATAAAGTGATTTGAGTCACTAAGAGAAGGATTACTTGTTTTAACTATTTGCCACAGGAAAATCTGAGACTAAAGATTCAGAATATTTTTCCTAATGATCAAAATACTATCTTTTGGAAAATGAAATTTTCTATCACCTAATTTGAATGTATAGCTTTGTACTGTGCATTTTTCTTACAGGAATTTCTTTTCAAAATTATCTTTACATGTTTTTCAGGTAAATAAGGTCTTGACATAAACAAGCTATCTAATAAATACTTCTATATTTGGAAATAATGTATGGACTGTCTACCCTCCGAGTATTGTGGTAATATTAATAGGTAAGACAGAACTTTTTGCTCTCTCTTCAGTAAGTCATTTGCACCCTTACTGCTGAACTAAAAACAAATCAACACCCCCTCCCCTAGTCAGGTTTATATTTATCCTATTGTACTTATCTTTAGTTTATTTAATGAACTAATGTTTTTTCGTTCAAGTTCAGGTTTCTGAAAAATGAAGAAAACTCTGAAAAAAACTGAGAAATTTACAGTTAATGTACTCAAGCATCAGTTTAATCCTCATAGAGTAAGGTGAACTATCCAACAGTATGCATCTGTGTCTTTGTGGCTAGAATGAGATGAGGAGAGCCTGGCACACAGCAGCATTCAAATTAGTTAATTGTTCTTTCCCTCTCTTTATATGGCATGCCACAACTTTAAAATTTATCTAAAAGTTTAGAAACCTTGCCAGAGACTGGAATAAAGCTTATTTTTCTCAATTTATGATAATATTTTATAAAAATTAATTATAAATAGAATTGTGGGGACAGGATGCACACACACATATATAACATTCTTAGAAGACAAATTGAACCCTGTGATAGCCTAAGTGGAATTTTGGTTAAAATTAATTGTGGCAAAATATTTCTGATTTATATTCTCTGTGAATTCGCACTAGTCTTCTTTCCCCATTTGGCCAGATTGTTGAAGTTTTACTTTGATAGGGGTTCTTTCCAAGTTCTGTTACTTAGGACTCTTCTTCAAGATATTTTACAGTTGATGTCTTGGGCTTTAATTGTTGGTGTGGTGGAAGTGCATGTGCAGTAGTGAGAGGTTGTCATGCACCGAGTTCTGGTCCAGCATTCTCACTGATGACCTGGCTGGACTCAAAGCAGTTCATTTAACCTCTCTGGGACTGAGTTTTCCTTTTTCTCCCAAATTGAAATAATAGCTTCTTCATTTATTTTACAGTTTTAAATATTAAATGAAGAATAGCTATCAAAACTTTTGAAAAGTATTAAGTATAATGTGAATATTTATTTTTAATTGCAATATCAAAAGATCTTTGTAAACTTTAATGTTAGGATTTGTTCATTTTTTCTGAGTAATATACATAAAGTAATCATGGAGTCTTGTTATACTTTTACTTGAAAGTGAGAAATTCATATTCCTCTTGAGCTGTCAAATAAGGATATAAGATTGAAATTATGTTTCTTTAGATAAATTAACTGTGAAGATTACTTTGAAAACCTTTATGGAGAAATATTTGTTGCTACCCTAGAGAGATTATACCTGTTTATTGTTCCTGGAGTAAGTATGTTGCTGCTTTATTAAATCATTCTTACTACAGTTAGATTAAATTGTTACCTGGGTTAAGTATTCTAATATATTTGTAAGATGGATGATAATATAAGTAAACAAATCATATATATATATATATATATATATATATATATAACATATATAAATTTACACATTACTTATGTTACTGTAGCTGTATAAAAATTTTTATCTTAATTTGGAAAGAATAAATTCAACCTATTTTAATTTATTCTGCTCTCTATGAGTAATTATTTTACATCTGAACCTTTCTTTTTTATTTATTTATTTTTTTTAGTTATTCATTTATTCACATGTGCATACATTGTTTGGTCATTTCTCCTCCTGCCCCCATCCCACCTTCTCCGCCCCTCCCCCTCCCTTCCAGGCAGAACCTGTTTCTGTGCTTTTCTCCAGTTCCATTGAAGAGTAGAAATAAGCAATAATAAGAAAGACATAGCATTTTGCTAGTTGAGATAAGAACAGATATACAGAGAGATTCCTAGCATTGTGCAGCTTTCTTCTTAGATGGATTACCAGATTTACTATTAAGGAATGAAATGAAATAAATTTTTTTTAAATGTGCTGATGGTAGTATTCTTTACCATATACAAATTATTCCTTTTTTTTTTAGACTGGGATTTGAACTCTGGCCTATACCTTGAAGCCACTCCACCAGATCCTTTTTGTGATGGGTTTTCTTCAAAATAGGGTTTTGCAAACTGTTTGCTCAGGGCTGGCTTCAAACATGATCCTCCTGAGTATCTAGATTACAGGCATGAGCCCACTGGCACCTGGCTCAAATTTTATTCCTTAAATAGCAGTTATCTTATTATATATGCAACACTGACCTGGCTTTTTCACTTAATGAATATACTTACATTTTACACAGTTCTTCTTGGTGAAGTAGCAATTTTGAAAGGTGATACTCCCACTATGGGCTACCTACTGTTTCTTACAGTTTAGTGAACTTATTAAATACCTCCTCCTTGTATATTTCTTTTCAGTCATTTGCACTATTTCCTTAGAGTACATTTTGAGACATAAGATTATTAACTAAAACAGATAAATACATGCATATAGATAGATGGATAGGATATGTATGATATCTATATATAGATATAGATATAGATATATAGTTAATACATGTTCCTGAAACTACTTTCTAAGTGGTGTTTAATGTAGCTGATATCAAGTGGTATTGGATATTACATCATGTTTATACTTACTAAAACTTTAACCACTAGGACATAATAGCCATCATATTCTGATATATTTTTGTCTTTTCTCTGTTTCTCTTTACCTTCTCCCTCCTTTCTCTTTTTCCTGTCTTCCTTCTCCTTGTAATTTCCTTCCTTCACTTCTTCCTTTTAGATATAAGCTTCGATAAATAAAAAACTAAATCATTTACTTTTAAACTTTTATATAAAACCAATCTAAATAAGCAGATGTGTTTCTTACTTAATAACTTCTATTACACATACATAATTGTTAAGGAGGCTGTACTTTTCCATTTATTTGTAATTCCATCCATTTCTTTTTGTGCAGATTAATTACATATTTTAGATACTGAATATGATGCTGAAAAGAAGAAAAATCCTTGCAAGATATAAAACAAAGCTTTCTCAAGTTGAAGACGCCCTTCAAAAAGCATCAGAGATAGGTAGGTACAGTAAGTTGATGTTTTAGATAACTTGCAAATACCTATATCTCAGATGTATTTAATGTCACTTAAAGAGGTTCTTTCATAGGCCTTCTTAAGCTACAGTTCCAAAGGAAAATCTAAAATTCTTTCTCAAAATACCTGATTTTAAATTTCAGTAACTTACTGCCTTTTTTTCTGTGATTGATTTATTTCTCTGCATTTTGATACTCCCTTTTTAGCTATCAGTCGATTTTACTGTGGTACATTAGGAAACTTCAAATCTGTAAGTTCCTGCAACCTCTTCATTTTGGTCAAAAGTTAAAGACTTCTTTTGTGGCATTCTTGTGTTCTGACAAGATAATGAAGCTAAACAATTACTACAGTGAAATGACAGAAAATTGCTATAATTGTAGTTCTAGCTTACTCCCATATTTGATAGGATACTTTTGAAAAAAACTTCATCCTTTAGGTTTCAACATTACAACACCTTCAAGTTATAACTTTTGTTTTTTATCTAAACATTAAATGTGGTGATTTATTAGTTTAAATTTTGATTTTGGTGAGAAGAGATTAGGCCTTTAGACTTTTTCTATGATAAGTAAGACTAGCTAACTGGAGTGTTGTAGACTCCCAAGAATATCAGAATGAGATATCAGTCATCAGATTCTTTTAACGTGTCGTCATCATTTTGCTTTAACATCTAACAATGGGTTAGTTTTCTTTATTTCAAATAACTTAAATATTCTGAGTGAGAGAAGTCACTGATTTGCCTAACAACCTTTTAAAGAAAAGTTGTTTTAAAAATACTGTACCTGTGCTCAGTCTAAATTGCATGGACTATGCATTAGTGTATTTATGAATGATGACCTTGGTTTTTGAAATTAAACTTACTTGCATTTTCTAAAATTTTAATTTGTTTTATAAAGAAGAATAGGATGAGAGAAGAAACAGTCTGTAGAAGTATGAGTGAAGGACTTTCCCAAATGTCTGATCTGTTTACTCTTTTAAACTTAAATCATATCCCAGTTGCTGATTGGAGTATAAGAGTCTTAGTACTTTGCATCATTTTTGTGTCATTTGGTGGTATTTGTACATATATATTTTTCTTTTTTTTTTTTTTTTAACGTAGACTGCTGACTTAATTGAATCTTTCCCCAGGGAAGCTCTTCCCTGTGTAGCCGAGGCTGGCCTGGAACTTGAAATCCTCCTGCTCAGCCTTCTGAGTGCTGGGATTATAATGTTACCACCATGCCCAGCTTAGAAATGTCTTTTAAAATAGTTTTCCCAATCCAGTGTGTGGTTAAAGTCCCAGCTCCTCAGAAGACTGGGCTTGAACCCAGGAGTTGGTAGCAAGTCTGGGAACAAACAGTGCCCCATCGTAAAAGTTCTTTATCACTGATTTGAATCCTTTAAGTATCAAGTATTTTTTTCTAATGCAGAAATACTCTTTACAAAAAGTTACTCAATACTACTCAAAAATAAGAGGTTATTTTAACCCTATTGTCAAGCCTTTACATTTGAATTGGGCAGTGAATTGCTTAAGGATAAGCAGAAAAATTGAGTCCCATCAAAAAGGTACACAGTGTGGGAGTTCAGAATGAACATACTATGTTCAACCAAGAGATCAGGACAGAGAATATTGAAGTTATATAATTCAGCAGGTGGTGTAAAGAATGCAGAAAGGGAGAGGGCATTCTAGGCACAGGCATAGTGCAGGAAGAAAAATGTAGAGACTCTATGGGAATAGCTGATAAGAGTGTTAGGGATGTAAGGTTGGAAAGCCAAGTGTAGGTCATTTTAAGAGATTGGAGTGGCCTAATGATATATAATGACAATGATAGCCGACATCATTGAACATTTCCTATTTGCAAGTCACTCTTCAAATGAACTCATATTCACAGTTACTCCCTAAAAATGTGGTTGTTGCTGTTTTCTGTTTTACAGTGAGGAAGCTCTGAATGTCAAAATAAGTTGTCCTAGGTCACAAGCTGAAAATGGTTGAGCCAGAAATTGGACTCCAAGCTGGCTCAAGATCTGATAACCCTGGCTATGTGGACTTTATCGAGCTGTGTGGGAGTCAGTAAGTTTTCCTTTTTCGTTCATCTAAATCTAGGGAGTGGCTGATCAGAGCTGTGATATATAGATGTTAACTCTTAGTGATGTCTTAGGCTAGGCTGATGTGGAGGAAAAATTGTATATGGCAATATACATCATTAACAGGACAGGATAGAAAGGATTCGACAATGTAACTGAATAGGAACAGATCATGCTAAAGTAAATGAGATTCATTTCAGTCCGGACTCTAAAATTGATTGTCAATATCACAAGGATTTTCTGAAAAGAGAAAAAATGACAAGCAAAAGAGTACCAAAATAGCAGATTTTTGTTCTGTTTGCCAATTTGGTTCAAAGATTTCAGTGAACATTAGCCATTAATTATTTGTCAGCCTGCCTTAATTTGAAATGTTATATTTAATTATTCGAATTTGTTTGAAATCTATGCTGAAAGAATGAATTGGGTTCTGTGAATATTTCCGTTAGAAATTACTGGTTTTGGCATCAATGAATTTCAGTTGCATAATACATCATTTCTAATTTTTGAAATTCAGTTAGGCATATTTCACAAGTACAATTGAGATGTCTTTAAATGCTTAGCATGTTGGTTCCTCTCGCCATGTGGATGCAGGTGCACATTCAGGGGAGTGTCATTATACGGTTGAATAACGTTGTCTACAAGTACATTCAGGCCTGGTGGTAGCATGAGTAATGAGACTCCACTACAATAAAAATATATGCTTTCCCATGCTGTGCTTTCAGTGGAGGCTTTCAGTGTGCGTCCTTTTGAAAAATCACGGAAATATAATTCATGTTTTCCCACTTTACCATAATTTCCTCTTCCCTACCTTCTGTAGCCATTTATTGATTTGCTAAATGTTTAGTGTCTCCCTGCAGAAGCACTGTGCTGGGTGCTTGGTGTACATGGGTATAAACAAACACAACTCACTGGCCTTGTGAAGGTCACAGTTGGAGCCAAAATAGTTGTGACGTTTGAACTGCCTTTGGACTTTACTGGTTTTCTAGAACACTAGTAGCCTCCCGATTAAGCACTTCTCTCCTATGGTAGTGGTACTGAAACTTGTATAAAGTAATAACCTGGAAGTTTTGGGCAATGCTTTATTCAGAACTGGACCAGGATTCCCATCTTCATTTCTTCTCATTTCCTCTGATTCAGGCTACAGCAGCCTTGGAGGCATCTCTATGACCATTGTCCTGTACAGTTTACTAAAATTTGAAGCTTCACAAAGGCAAAATGAAGGCTGTTGGCTTTAGTATTTACAGCAGGACTCTTTTATACATTAGGAAGCCTACCAAATACAGTACTAATTTTTAATATTATAAATAATAGTTTTATTAAATTTTATGCTTTATATTTCCTCAGAAGCTTGTTATTTTAATCACAGTAAGCATTAATTCTGTTAGAACTACTTCAGAAGCTAGAAATTTCTTTTTTTTTTTTTTATGTTTGCATTCCATTTCACATCCTTTTTTTTTTTTCATTTTTCTTTTATTATTCATATGTGCATACAAGGCTTGGTTCATTTCTCCCCCCTGCCCCCACCCCCTCCCTTACCACCCACACCCCCCTTCCTCTCCCCCCCTCAATACCCAGCAGAAACTATTTTGCCCTTATTTCTAATTTTGTTGTAGAGAGAGTATAAGCAATAATAGGAAGGAACAAGAGTTTTTGCTGGTTGAGATAAGGATAGCTATACAAGGCATTGACTCACATTGATTTCCTGTGCGTGGGTGTTACCTTCTAGGTTAATTCTTTTTGATCTAACCTTTTCTCTAGTCCTGGTTCCCCTTTTCCTATTGGCCTCAGTTGCTTTAAGGTATCTGCTTTAGTTTCTCTGCGTTAAGGGCAACAAATGCTAGCTAGTTTTTTAGGTGTCTTACCTATCCTCACCCCTCCCTTGTGTGCTCTCGCTTTTATCATGTGCTCATAGTCCAATCCCTTGTTGTGTTTGCCCTTGATCTAATGTCCACATATGAGGGAGAACATACGATTTTTGGTCTTTTGGGCCAGGCTAACCTCACTCAGAATGATGTTCTCCAATTCCATCCATTTACCAGCGAATGATAACATTTCGTTCTTCTTCATGGCTGCATAAAATTCCATTGTGTATAGATACCACATTTTCTTAATCCATTCGTCAGTGGTGGGGCATCTTGGCTGTTTCCATAACTTGGCTATTGTGAATAGTGCCGCAATAAACATGGATGTGCAGGTGCCTCTGGAGTAACAGTCTTTTGGGTATATCCCAAGAGTGGTATTGCTGGATCAAATGGTAGATCGATGTCCAGCTTTTTAAGTAGCCTCCAAATTTTTTTCCAGAGTGGTTGTACTAGTCTACATTCCCACCAACAGTGTAAGAGGGTTCCTTTTTCCCGCATCCTCGCCAACACCTGTTGTTGTGGTGTTGCTGATGATGGCTATTCTAACAGGGGTGAGGTGGAATCTTAGTGGTTTTAATTTGCATTTCCTTTATTGCTAGAGATGGTGAGCATTTTTTCATGTTTTTTGGCCATTTGAATTTCTTCTTTTGAGAAAGTTCTGTTTAGTTCACTTGCCCATTTCTTTATTGGTTCATTAGTTTTGGGAGAATTTAGTTTTTTAAGTTCCCTGTATATTTCTGGTTATCAGTCCTTTGTCTGATGTATATTGGCAAATATTTTCTCCCACTCTGTGGGTGTTCTCTTCAGTTTAGAGACCATTTCTTTTGATGAACAGAAGCTTTTTAGTTTTTGAGGTCCCATTTATTATGCTATCTCTTAGTTGCTGTGCTGCTGGGGTTTCATTGAGAAAGTTCTTACCTATACCTACTAACTCCAGAGTATTTCCTACTCTTTCCTGTATCAACTTTAAGAGTTTGGGTCTGATATTAAGATCCTTGATCCATTTTGAGTTAATCTTGGTATAGGTGATATACATGGATCTAGTTTCAGTTTT